CTTGTTTACAGCCCACTGTTTGGTCAAACACTTTGGGTTGGTTTTAAAAGTGCGTTCAAAGCAAGTAAAAATAAAGTTGGATTGGATTGGACCAGATAAGTCTCTCTAGAACTGAATTGTTTACTTTTTTCCCTTCAGTTCATAATGAGGAAGATAAAAGAAGTGGATCTGGAGGCTCTGATTTCCTCCCCAGAATGCCCAGCGGATCAGTTACAGAAACTGAAGCTTACTATACCTGAAGTATGAATGATTTCTTTCCTTTTTATACATTACTCATACAGCTGTGTTCATAAGCATCTAAATAGCAACTGGCAGCTTATAAATGTGCTGTAAGTTTATCCATTCTTTACCATCCGTTCCCTTCATGTCACCAGGTGATGCACACCTTGCTTGAGGCAGAACAGGTATGTGCAGAGCTGCAGCATAGTGTGTCAGGTCTGGACACTCGCCTGGCTGAACTCCTGCATTGGGAGACTGAGGCCAGGGAGCTCTACCAGCTGCTGAGGGCCTCAGAGCGACAACAGCGGGGCCAAGACCCACGTGCAAGGGTAAGAAGATCTACAGAATAGGAAGGTTGTTCAGCTGTGATCCAAGTTACTCGAAACAGTTTAAGCTCCTATGACAATCTTATTATTCTTTCATAAAGAAACCCTTATGCATAATTGAGTAAACGCTAAACGTTATTCAACACCATGTATTCTGCCAGGTCCTGATATCCCGGGGTCTACAGCTGGAGGGTCAGGTGGTCACAGAGGAGCAGGACCTGCAGGTGATGGTGATGACGAGTCAGAAGGACTCTCCCATCCAGTATCTCCACGCCTCTGCCATGCAGGACCGAGTGCGAGCCGCTGTTGCTCAGTCACAGGTCAGTTGTCTTTTAGTAAATTGACGGGGCAAGCCATTGAGTTGATCATGTTCTGTATTTCAAACTGTAGACAAACAAGAGGCATAGCAGAGACTATTAAGATAATATAACTACTATGTCAGCTCTTCTAATGTGTGTAATTTCAATCCCAGGAAGCTGTAGGTATGCTGAGCAGCCTGGGAGCCAGAAGAGACAGAAGCAGAAGCCCTCCAGAGGGGCCACCATCAAAAGTCTTTATCCAGGCTAAAGGTCAGCCTCAGCATATGAGAGAGTCAGACACCAGGGACCGAACTCAGCAGCCAGACACAAAGTTAGTTTCTCATCAGTATCATGAAACCTTTGTGCCAACAATTGTGGTGCAGGAATACAGAGAAGAAAAGACGACTTCTCCTCCAATGCCATATACCTATGCACAAGCTGTGATGCAGACCAGGACAAAGTCACCACCAGACGCAGTGGAGACCACCACACAAAAACAACAGCAGACTCAGGAACAAGGGTTGACATCACAGCGAGAGCTACTGCAGCAGGAACAATATCAGAGACAGACAGGAAAAGAGCAACAACACCAAGAACGCAGGCAACACCAGCCACAAGAAGTACAACAGCAGGAGTTGAAGCCAACACAGCCACAACCACGGCAGCAGAAGCAGGAACAACAGGTGGAGCAGCAGCAGCAGCAGCTAGGAATGCATCAATATCAAGTTCAGCAGCATGTGGTAACTCATATACAGGTTGAACCACAAGTCGCACAAGCATCAGAGCACCAGAAGCAGACTTCACCTCAACAACAATCTGTAAGTAAGCCACCTCTGAGCTCCCAGGAGCTTCAAAGCAGAAAGGCTCAGGCCATGAAGAACCGGCCCTGGCTTCAGAAGCCAGCCTCAGGAGAGCATAAAACTCCAACTCCAGATCCAGAACAGGATTCCACTCAGGAACCTATTCAGACTAGACAGACACAGCCACAGTCAGACAGAGAAACTGTGGGATCAGTTCAGGTTATTCCACAGCATACAGTGGCCAGACCACAGCCTGAGACACATGCAAAGGTTACTGAGCAACCACAACAGCAGCAAAAAGAGCAACAGAAACAGACACAGCAACTCCAAAATCAGCAGCAACTGTCATATCACCAACAACAACAAAAAGAAATGCATCAGCAACAACTACTACAGCGCCTGGAAAAACAGGAACTGATGCTGCAGCAGCAACAACAACAGCAATCACAACAACCACTGCCTGTAAGAAAGGCACAACCAGATTCAGACACCAAGGCTAAAGCACAGAAAGCAACTATGGCTCAGCTACACCCACAAACGGAGGCCCAAAAACAGTCACAAGCCCAAACCTCAGTTCATTCTAAATCACAGACACTGGTCCAAGTGCAAATGCAGTCTACAAGTGTGTCCCACACTATGACAGACAGCCAGCAACCACTGAAAACCATGTCCCAAACCAGAGTACGCCAGGATCAGACACAAGTTCTTCAGCAGCCCCATGGCCCCATGAAGATGCAGTCATCGACCCAACTACAGCCCCAAGTTCAGACTCAGCCCCAAACATACGTCCCAGCTGGACCTCAGCCATCTATGCAGCAACAGGGTCTAGGCCATGGCCCAGCTGTAGCTCAAGTACAGACATGGGCTCAAGTCAGACCTTCTTCCCCTATGCAGGCTCCAATGCATGGCCAAATTCCGCCTCCTGTGCCATCTCACATTCAGCTTCGTAGTCATCCACAGTCATGGGCCCCTGTTAGGCCCCCCTCCCCTAAGCCTCCAACACATACCCAGTCTCAAATTGATGCTCAGTCAATGTCTCATTCTCAAACCCATCCTCAGTTAATGCCCCAGTCACAAATCCATCCTCAGTCCATGACCCAGCCTCAAACCCATCCTCAGCTAAAGACCCAGTCTCAAATCCATCCTCAGTCCATGGCCCAGTCTCAAACCCATGCTCAGTCCATGGCCCAGCCTCAAACACATTCTCAGCCAGTGGCTCAGCCAAGCCACCTCCAACCTTCAACTCAACAAACCCAAGCTCAACTTGTAGTCCAGCCTCAGGGTCATTCTCAGCCTATGACTCAGTATCCCACTCATGCTCAGCCAGTAGTACAGCACCAAGCCAATATTTCCCAGGGCCAAATCCATAATTGGACTCAAGTTAGAGCATCATCTCCAATGTCTATCCAGCATCCACAGGCTACAGCACAACCTCCACGTTACCCCCAAGGTTACTCCCAGGGTCAGTCCCCATCCCAGCAGTGGACACTCAAACAGGAGCCACAAAGCCAAGCCGTTGCCCAGCAGAGGCATCCAATTCCCCAACCATACCCTCAGCAAATAGGTCAAGCTCCACAGGCTCAGGCTTATCAAACAGTTCAGGCTCTACCACAGTGGTCCCAAGCTGGGCCTCAGCTAGGACCTCAGATAGGGCCCCCCGAGTATTCTCACATGGGGCCATCATATACTCAGCCTCAGATGCAGCCACAAACACAACCCTGGGCTCAAACACAACCCCAAGTGAGACCCCAGAGTTCTATGCAACAAGAACAAACTCAGATGAGCGCTTATGATATGTTTCATATCCAGACACAACAAGGCCAAGTTCAGCAACAGACTTGGGTTCAGTCACCACCTCAAATTCTACCCCAGCCTTATCCCCAGTCTCATCCTCAGCCTCATCCTTTGCCTCAATTTCAGCAATACCCACAGGTTCAACATCAGCCTCAACCTCAGCGTCACCCACAGCCACAGATGCAAGCTCAAATACCTCCCCAATCACAACTCCCACAACTTCTTTCACGGCCCCAGCTTCAACCTCAGCTGCAGGCTCAGTCCCAAACACACATCCAGACACAGCCATCGGTACAAGTAAGGCCCCAGTCCCAGACTCAGCACCCTCAGATCAACCTTCAGTTTCAGCAGCCACCTCCACAACCCAAACATCAAGCCCAGCTACAACCACAACCAAAGATTCAGTCACCTACTCGACCAAAAGGTGAATCACCTCTACAGCCCAAACTTCTTGCCCAATTAGTAACACAACCAGAGGTTCAATCAGCAACTCAACCTATGGTTCAGTCACCAACTCAACCCAAGGCTGAATCACTGCCGCAACCCACACCTGAGCCCCAGTTTGTGCCACAACCCATGGTTCAGTCACCAATCAAGGCCGAATCACCACCACAACCAAAATTGCAGGCCCAAACTGCACCACTACCTGATGCTCAATCACCTATCCAACCCAAGGCCCAATCACTGCCACAACCCAAACCTCAAGAACCATTGCCACTACAGCCTCAACATCAGGCTCAGTCACCAACACTACCCAAGGCCCAAACGACACTACCATCTGAAGCTCAATCACCAAGCCAACCCAAGGCCCAATCACTACCACAACCTAAACCTCAGGCACAATTACCACCACAGCCCCAACTTCAGGATCAGTCCCCACTCCTCATGGCCCAAACTGCACCACAGTCTAAGGCTCAATCACCCCCACAGGCCAGACCTCAAACCCAACCACTTCCACAGTCAAAACCTCAAACTCAGTCTCCTCCGCAACCCAAACCTCAACAACCCCAAACTGTTCTCCGCTCCCAGGTCAATGTGCTGCCTCAGTCCCAGGCTGAGTCACCAGACCTGTGCATTACACCTCCGGCCCTGGCCCAGGTGCCTCCCCAGGCCTACACAGAGGCTTACACCAAGGCCCAGGCGTTGGCCAGAAATGGCTTTGAGGAGGCCAAGCACTGTCTGCAGGAACACATCCTGGAAACCATTAACGTTTTTGAAGACAAACGTGTATCAACCGAGCAAGTATTATTGAAAGAGGTGAGATGTGATAACTGATAATCACTTCACTATAATGTTAAACTCAGCGAGTAACCTTAATTAGTAAGTTTTAAGCTGCAAGATCTTTATGCAATTAGAGCTCCGTTTTTGTACTATATATTATATAACAATTAAAACGGCATACCCATTTTGTGAAAACTACATTTGACATTTTAAACACTGAGTGCTGTAATAACCTTTGATATGGAGATATTTCACATAAAATATGCCAAAACACACTACTTAAGTTTTTAACTGGAGTTTCTAACTGAAATAAACCAATTTTCAAGAAGCCAGTCTGCAATTATATATGCCTTTCCCTTCAGGAGACTCTAAGGACCTTGGACCCAGAGTTGCTGGAGGAGTTCTTGAGAGCAGCCAAGGGCATGGAGGCCTTTTGTACCCCCTCACAGCTCAGAGACATGGAGTTTTACACCCAGTCTGTCAGGACACAGTGGGAGGTAAGCCGCAAACTCGCTCAGCCCCTTACTGTGGGAGTTTGGTGCTAATGTGTGTGGTTTTAATTGCTGTTAATAGGGGATTGTTCACATTTGTTAGTTTTATAAGGTTTTAACGTGTTTGAGGTTTGAAGATAATTGCTTGTGCATGTCAACCATAAATGTACTAAACTGTTGCAACATTTTCTGCCTTTATTAACTTTATTTTGAAAGCTATAAATGTCATCCAGTTGTTAATTTGCATACTTATAAACCATTCATATGTTCTAACATGTTGTGTGGTTTTTCTTGAATTCATTTTATTTTATTTCCCAGGCTGTGAGAGCTGAGATCTCAGGCTTTTTGCAGCAGTTACATTTTGAAGTAACAAGGAAAGACTTTAACACATCTGCCCTACAGTGTGAGATGCACTTAAGGTCCCGATTAGAAAACCAAGCGCAGGTAGTTAACGCTAGAGCTGAACTCTTGGCAGGTGTGCTTTGGTGTATGGGTATACATTCAGTTTATCTGCTCCGCGTATCTAACCCTTTTTCCTCCTTCTTCTTTGTATGCCTCAAAGGAGACTCTATCAATGGGACTTGGTAAATTTGATACTTCATTCTGGTTTCTCTTTAAGAGAGTGCTGTTTTAGTTGTGTTTACGGTACCATATAGTATAATGCTATAATTTAGTAACTTGCTGGGCCAGAAAAGACAAACCTACTCAGGTAAAGGTAAACTTACTCAACAAAGTAACATAATAAAAGAAATGAACTAATTTAGTTGAAATTCTCAAAGAAATCACATTTCCAATTGAAAACAGCATTCTTTTATTTTTTGGTGCAGTAAACATGTGGGCTGCTTTCATGTATGGGTTGGCTTGTGTGTTGTCTGTCAAGCTATCAACTTCAGACATAAATTAGTTTCTAATTGATATAATATTGCTATGCTATTAGGACGCAAGTCAAATATATATTGCAAGTCTGCCCAGATTTGTCTTGAGAGTCTAAAAAACAAAAAGACGAAACAATGAGCTAAATAAAAAAATTTAAGTAGTTTCAAACTGGTAGTATTAATCATCTGGCTTCAAATCTAGTTATTAACATGCCTGATTACTTACTGTTTGATCTGTCAACATTCACCAGGCTTGTATATCAGAGGATGGCAGCTTTGCCCAGGCAGGGCAGCACCTCGAAGCCCTGAAAGAGCTGTGTGACACCCTGAGCCCCGAGGATGCTCACCGCCTGGCCCAGACTCAGCTGAGGGAGTGCGAGAACAGGCTGGCTGCCATCCAGCGCCAGTTCAGTGGAGACCAAGACGCACCACTCCCAGATTCTAGGTGAGATGATATTATTTTTTCCTCTACACTGACACTATTTAAATTAAAACTCCTTCATGAGCGAGACATTTCAGTTCCATTTGTGGCTGTTTAAAGACAGATTCTGTTTTGTGCATCATTTAAGATAAAATGTTAAATAAAAAGAATTTTATCTTTATTTTGGTTTCACAGGATCCCTGTTGCCTTCAGTGAGGATCTGACCATACAAAAGGAACCTCCAAGACCAAGTGACAAACCTCAGATCTCAGCTGAGGTATGACTTTGTCAAAAAGAAGCCTCCTCAAGACTGTATGATTGTTAAAAATAATAATAAATACATAATCCAAACAGAGATTAGTATAAAAAGTCCCTAAACAGTAAATAAGCTGCTCAAAATCCATCCAAAGCATTAGTTTTACACAGACTTCTTGTAGTTACTAAGTTAACTATTTGTGTTGTACAGTTTTGAATATAATAAAAAGTAACCATAAAATATCAGTTTACCGAATGGTAGAAAAGGGGTACTTTTAGTAAAAAGGTTGGGAAGCACTGTCTTTTTTCCACAGAACATTTACAGACCATGCTAGCTCTTCTCTAGTCACTGTTTCAAAATACTGTGTTATCTGCATCTATACCTACAGATGGCCACTGAGCAGCTCCTGAGGTTTAAAATAACCGACAACATGCTTTCACTTTTCAGGTGTTTCAAGTGCCAATGAAGACAGTCAGTTTGGAGAGGAGGGAGGTTGAAAAGCAGGCGTCTGTAGAGGAAGAAGTCAACAAGAAGGAGGCTTTAGAGAGGTAGAATTTAGCTCAGTTTAGGTTTTGATGAATTTGGAGGTCATTATATTCAGTCTTTTAACTTGTTATCTTTCTTTGTTTTAACTTCTCCAGATATGAGAATTGTAAGAGGATGCTGCAAGCCCAACTGGCCAAAAATGAACAGAGCATCCGGGATGTTCCCTCTGACTCCGTCTCTCTTAAAGGCCTGCATACAAGGCTCCAGGAAATACAGGTACGCTATAAGTTGTGTGTATCAGAAACAGATTTAAATACTAACTAATTATTTGAAGATTGTTTCAATGTCTGGAGTATTTTTACAGATATTTACTAAGTAGATCAATACCCATGACATGCCAGTAATCTTGAGTCGAACCCCTTATTACCCAGTTTTTGAGGCAGGAAACAGAATTTCTGTGGTCTGAGTATGCAAACCAGTGCTCCCAGTGTTCCCAGATGAGGGGGGACACTGGTCGGGAGCAAGAGAAGGCAGAGCTGCAGGATCAGTGGCGCAGCCAACAGTCCAACCTTCAGAAGAGAGGCAGCTCCCTGGGCGCTGCCCTCAGACAGATCGACTCCACCGAGAACCACATGGTGGACTTCACCGACCGTCTGGACCGCTACCTGAGACAGCCCAAAGACATCACTGCCTTCACACTGGCCAACACCAACATCCTGAGAGATATTAAGGTATTCTGTCATGAATGCCTTTCTTTTGTGTTTATGTATTCTTTGATTGTCTAAAATCCAATAATCAGAATTTAAGGCCTAAATTGTCTTCAATATGATTTTGACAGGTCTTTGGATTTGGATTAACAAAGTTAACATTACTTGTATAAAGTTGCATTTTTCAGTCTCGTCAGTCTATCAGTATGTTTGTAAAATAGGTTTCGAATTGCATTTATAATGGTCTGAAAAATGTCTCAAAATGTCTTTAATTTAAAACCTGGAAACCAGGAAACCTGCAGAAAACCTGTTATTAATAGTGACTCCTCTCTGAGACCCAAATTTAATAAAACGTATATGCAGAAAATAGTGCAGCCTATATTATCAAAAATAACTAAGTCGGAGAGCCCTACTGAGTTACAGTGATTGGATGATCAAGACTAAAGGTATGTTCAAACTGAACACATTTCACACAAGTTGAATATGTTTTAACTCAAGCAAAAGATTGCTGCTTATCCCAAGACTAGAGGAATCCATGAATGTACGACAACCAGAGGAAAACGGACAGAAAAAGATTTCTCTAAAGGACTAGAGTTAACTGACTTACAGTAAACCAAACACGCCACAGGTCAAATTCTAGCAAATAAAAAGAGGAAAAAATGCCTTTCTTTCAGTCTAAAAGCACCTTAACATTACACTTGTATCTCAAGCAGTTTTGGCAGAACACTTCACAGCCTCCTCATCTCAAACTATTCTCTCCTCTCACAACAGGAGCTGGATGACAACATCCAGAGCGAGCTGGACCAGGTGTCCCGTCTGGACCCTGAATCCAGCGATCTGGACCCAAGAGACTGCTTCGCTCTGTCCCGCGAGGTTGAGACTCACAGAACCAGCCTGGATCAGCTTCGACAGCAGGTCCGCAAAAGCGAAGCAGCCGCACGTGCCCTCGACCGTTTCCTCATGTCGCTGCGTACCGTAGATGAAGACATCTCTGGAGTCCAAGGTGCCCCCTGCAGTGACACTCAGGTACTGCAGGAGTGCCGTTCCAAACTGGCTCTGATCAGGCAGAGCATCGACAGTCTGAAGGAAAAGGCGCCTCAGCTGGATCTGCTCCTGCAGGGGGCCAGGCTGACGGTCACCAGGGATGCTGTCCCGGCCTCCTGCCTGGACATGGTGACTGCCCTGCTGAGAAGGCTGGAGGAGGCTGACAGTGGGCTGGCCAGCCAGCAGAAGGGCATTCAGAAGGAGACACACAGCAGATCCCTGGGCCTGAGGAAGAGGACACTGCTCGGGGAGCTGAGGACGCTGCAGGATACTATTGAAACACAAGGCCTGAAGGAGCCCACCATACCTGCTGTACAACACAGGTGTATTTCTGCTCATGCATTACTTCAGCTAACTTTCTGATGGTTGTGATTGTAATTTTGTTATATCTAAAGACATTTACTTGAAGAATTAAACTCCTGATTTCCCAAAATAACATCCTAATAATAATCTTGTACTTCCCAGGCTTCGTGCTCTGTCAGATTTGGAGGGTCAACTTCAGGCCCAGCATGCCGAAGTCCAGAACCTCCGTGAACTTCAAGAAGAACAGGGAGGAGGAGAAAACCTCTTTGAAGAGCTGGAGACTCAGTGGAAGGAGACCCAGAAAGCTTTTTCTGACAGGTAGGTTAGGCAGGAGAAGCATGAAAATATTAAGCCTATAGGAAGAAATGACTGCTGGCCATCCTATATGTTAGCTGAAACAAAATGTAACTGTAAACCTAAACACATTCTTATTTATTTGACTAACACACTGACGTCAGTCAACTACTAACTGTAGCTTCTCCTGGATATGGGTGTCTTTGATAAAAAATGGTGATATTACTCCGTATGATATTCATGTAAGCTATTCTTACCTAAAATCCCTTGTGTTCTTGTCTTCCTCTGGCAGGAAGAAGCAGTGCAACGCCCTGCTGGAGCTTCTAAAGAAGTCCCAGAGTTGCCGCAGTCACCTGAGCAACACCATGCAGAGAGCAGAGCAGGCAATCGGTGATCAGGCTTCCTACATGGGCAAGGACAACCTGCAGAGGAGTATAACCAAGGTTAGTCCACAAAATGACATACATTTGAATCTCATCAATTCAAAACATAGCATTCTAGATAAGAGGAAATATGTATGTTTGATTGATTTGAGGTGGAATGTCCCTTTTAATGTAATGAATAAGAAGCAACGTTTAACATGTGTATCTACCGCACATGTGCGTAAATGTAACAAACCAGTAGATGGCAGACAAGTTCTAAAATGAGATCAGTCACTGTGTGTTCAGGTTAACTTTGTGTTCACTTGTGTGTGCATTTGTGTCTGTGCAGGTCCGTGATATTAAAGAGGAGCTGGGGGGTCTTGGGGAGCGTATGGAAGAGATGAGGGGAGTTTGCAGACAGCTGCAGTCCCAACTGAAGAAGTTCCCAGACTGCAGTGAGACTCCCTTTGAAGCTGAGGCTGACATACTCATGGACAACTGGCTGGATGTAAGCGCCTATGCATACATTCACAACATATGGATCATGTACTTTATTATAAACAGATAGATATTGTACTAAATGTGTAAGACCAAAGAAGGATACAGGCCACAGAAGGAATTTAAACTTTTGCTTCAGTGTTTAATCACATGGCTTGGCTAAACCCACTGAGATCACTGTATCTCCTGCCTCCAGACAAGCTCTGTCTGTGAGAAATAGGGAAATTAAAAAGACTAAATTCAAGGTTATAATTATTATTATTTCATCATAACTTGACTGAATATTGTTGATTTGTGGCGCTCCTGCAGGTGACAGAGAAGACAGATGCCTACATGGACAACCTCCGGGTGGCGCTGGAGCTGTGGGAGAAGCAGCTGATGTTGGGGGGAGAGGTGGACACCTGGGCGGGGGCCAAACTGGCCCTGTTTGCAGAAAGCCATCCCTTCCACAATGAACAACAAGTACTTGCCATGAGGGTAAGATTCCCACAGAAGTAACATTAAGCCTGAGCAACCTCCCGAAAAGAGCACTTAAAGTGATTTGAAGGCGACCCATATACGCAGCGGCCCGGGTTCGAGTCTGACCTGCGGCCATTTGCTGCATGTCATCCCCTTTCTCTCTGCCCCCCTTTCCTGTCTCTCTCCAGCTGTCCCTGTCAAATAAAGGCATAAAAGGCCAAAAAAATAATACTTTAAAAAAAAAAGATTGTGTTGTGGTCATCCCTGATCTTTTAATTTCTCCCATATTATGTTAACTTTTCATTACTTTGTAGGATGAGATCCATGCCAATGAGGAGAACATTGAGCATTTCCACAAGAAGTCTGTAGAGATCCAGGAGATGCTGCAGAGTCAGGAGGCACCGCTGGAGCTGCAGGTCAGTTTGATTGATTGATCCCTTCGGCTTTTATTCTTATAAGTTGATATCCACATTACACTGTCTTTATCCTGTTTCAATAAGGTGATGGAAACCCAGCTGAAGAAGCGGATGCAGCAGGTGCAGGAGCTGTTCTCCGACTGCACCGACGTCTTTGAGGAGCTGATAGCTGTGAAGACCCACCTGGCTGAGAAGATAGAGGAGTGCCAGTCAGCTGTGGAGAACATCCAGTGTTCTCTCAGCAGGGTTGATGCAACACAACCGAAGGTGGAAGACCAGATTCAGGTATACGGCTGTTCAACGTTGTAACTATATTTGATATAATTCTTTATTTTATAGACCTACTATAAGTAGTATAATATACATAATAATAACACATATTGCACTGGGTCCTATCTGTTCAGTTTCAAATCATGTATGAAGTATATTTTTGACATCATGCGGCGGGCCAGAGGGAGGGGGATGGAGAGCCAGCAGTTTGAGTTCTCCTTGCTCTAGAATAACTGCCATTTTCACCGGTTTATCTGTTGTCCTCACCAGGATCTGTGTGACAATCTGGAGGCTCAGGAGGAGCAGGCTGAGGCTGTGTTGAAGGAGGTGGGTTTGGTTTCCAGTGTGGCCAGTCCTCAGGTTCTGGAGGCGCTGTCTGTAGACTGCAACAGGATGAGGGAGGCCATCTCCCGCACCAAGGACATGATCCACCTGAAAAGGGAGGAGAGGGACAAAGGCCTGCTCAAGGTTATCAAAGGTTAGTGTTGAGTCTTCAGTCCCTCCCGTTTAAGTAGATTAAAGTGGATGTGTTTTCAATCATGTGCTGTATTGTCATTGGGAAATTGATACCATAAAATAAGAGAGTTCATAATCAGATCTCTTTTGCAAGAAAGATCTGAGCACAGCAGAAGTATAAATAAGTACAGAAATAAGACATGCAGTGTCATACCAGTCACACAAACCTTTTTCACACATATAATGTAAATTACTGGAATAACCTTTAGGGCACCTTTTCACACATGCCATGGCAATGCTGGAATGGATGGGGCAAGGGAGTCCAGTAGATGGCGGTATTGAAACACTAATGAATGCCAACTGCCATAAAACTCAATGGAAGAATATGATGGGGATGTACATGTACAAGGCGACACTGCACTGTGTGATGGAAGCTCATTTGTACTCATTTTACTTTTTTGATATTCTTTTTATGAATCATGTTTTGTAATTATACATGACGTTAACATGTTTCATTTTGCTCCAGATGAAAAGCAGTCGTTTGAGGCATGGTTTCAGGACTTGCAGGTGTCCGTCAATGAGTGCTTTGAGAACCCTGAGTGCAGAACAGATGTGGAAACATCTCTGCAAAGACTCACTGTAAGTAGATAAATAAGTTGGTAGATAGATTCTGTAGATGGTTGGATGATTGATGGATGAGTCGTCACAGATTCTCTCATGTCCATCAGGCCTTCTTGAAATCCAAGGATGCAGAGAGACGTCTGGACCAGCTGAGAGATCAGCTGGAGAGGGGCGGCCAGCAGGTTCCTCCCCAGCAGCTCTCTGAGTTCACCGACTGGCTGAAGGAGCAGCAGGAGGAGGTGGGCACATTCGGAACCCACTGCCACAACAGGCAGAAACAAATGGAGTCACTACTCAGTGACTTGAACAGGTAATTGCTTCATTTTGTTCCCTTAACAGCAAGTCTGCACATTAAGATTTCTGTGTGTAAAATCTGGCTGTTTTGATCAGGAATCTCTCACACTGCAGTGAAATGTTGAGTGTCATTATAACCACTGAGAAAACATGTATTTTGAATTGTGTCTTTTGTTCTCTAGTCTGCAGAAGCAACACGACAGCTTCCGTGATTGGCTGCAGACCAAAGAAAAACAGTCTGTGGAGTCAGACAAAGTCAAACGTCTTCTCAAAGACCTTCAGGATGAGAGGTGATCATCAACGGCCAAACACTAGAGCATGAAGCCTAAGACTGTTAAACAGTGATGCTTCTGTTCTTTCTACTTCTCTTGTATACCACTTTCCATTGTCTCTTTATGTTTATGTCTTATGTAAAGCACTTTGAATTCCCTTGTTGTTACTATACAAAATTTTTTAATTTGCATTGCCCTTCATGTGACAGTGGGAGAGCTGACACCCTCAGCGAGGTTTTAGCGTCAGTACGCAGGCAAGGCATCAGAGCCGAGAGCCTCCTGAAGGACGGTGACAACTTGATACAACGCTACCGAAACCTGGAAGCCAGGCTGCAGCAGCAGGCAGACGCCCAGAGAGCCCTGGAGGGGGAATGTGACAAGTTTAATACCCAGGCTGAGAGCACCAGGACCTGGATTACTGACCTTCTGCAACCCCTCACCTCCGCTGGCACAGGAAACCAGACAGAGGAGATGAAGAACAAGGCACAGGTCAGTGAAACCCAATTTGATTGACATTAGAATGTAGAGGAAATTAATAAGATTTTATAAATACAATTTATACTTATATAGTAGAAAGTCTTTGATCAAATCAGACTTTTTCTTTCTTTCGCACTTCTGGAGGAATCTGTTTTATTTGAAATTTATATTGTTATGTATGTATTATTATTATTAAATTATCGATTCATAAAGAGACTAAATTCTCACAACTAGTTAATAGGCTTCATGTTCTTTGAAAGTTTGTTTCTTGCCAAGTGTGCATAAACTACACATTATTAACTTCTTTTTAAATACAAAAATGTGATTGTTTTGATCTTATCGATCGTGCAGTTGATGCTGAAGGACATTAGGTAATTTGGACCAAACTGTTGGACCAACAGACTGATATTTGTCCTATAGCTACACTGCTAACCTAACATCACTAAAATGTGTTTTCCTTTTTCAAATGCTTCATTTCTCCTGTTTTGTCACCAGGTCATCCTGAACTCCAAACCTGAGGGAGACTCTAAAGTGAACGACCTGAGGAGACAAAGCAAAAGTCTGTGTGAGCAGGAGGACCTAAAGGAGGGCAGGAAACAGGAGGTTCAGCAGTCGGTCAGAGAGACCGAGGCGCAGTGGAGGATGACTCTGCAGACAGCTGAGGAGACTCTCAACAAGGCAGAAACACAAGCCCTGCTCGACAAGGACTTGGCCACTTTCAGAACCCAGAACAAAATTGTTGAGTCCTGGATTAGAGACCACGAGCAGAACCTGCAGTCGATTGGTGGTTGCATGCAAGCTGAAGAAAAGCCTCAGATTGCACAAGTGGGTTTAAAATGGTTGTGGTTGTGTTAACGTTGTGGTGGATTGTAAAACATCTTATAAAGGACTGTTTTTAAAGGATAGAGCCAATGTGGTCACTTAAAGTGATATTTGTTCTCTTCAGGCCACTCTGAGCTCGAAGCCTGATGGAGACTCAAAGCTCCAGGATCTGAAGCGACGATGCCAGAGTCTGTGTGACAACCAGGGCTTGGACAAGAGCAGGAGAAGAGAGGTTGAGGACACAGTCAAATGTAGAGAGGAGGAGTGGAGTAAAGTTCTGCAGGCTGCTGAGCAGGCTCTCAACAAGGCAGAGACTGAAGCCACCAACGAAAGAGACTTTGATGCTTTTAAAACCCAAAGTGAAAGCATCCAGTCCTGGATCAGAGAGCAGAAGCAGAAGCTGTCCCCTGGTGGTCATATGCAGTTTGAAGAGAGGTTACAGCTCGCACAGGTGAGTTTACAAGGCAGGTTTGACTTGAAAACCAGAGATATAAGCAGCAAATAGATTTTTTAATCTTTCTGGGACCACCACTAGGCGTGCTAAAAAACTTAAAAAACACACACAGTAGTAATATCTCCTTGGTCTCTTGGTTCACTTCTGTGAAGAAAAGTAAATGTAAAGTAAATTGTCTAAAAGAACAATGGCCCAGCATCAGGTACAAGAAAACACAGAATTTGTCAAAACTTAGTTCCCACACCACCATTTCTGTGTCTCCATCTTCAGGCTGTTATGACCTCCAAACCTGAGGGAGAGTCCAAGGTGCTCGACCTGAAGAGACGAGGTGACAGTCTGTGCGAGCGTGTCGGGGAAAGCAGGAAGCCAGAGATTCAGCAGCTGCTTAAAGACACGGAGCAGCAGTGGAGAGCGGTTCTGCAGACCGCCAGACAGGCAGAGCTCCGAGGTCTGTCAGACGACTTCGACACTCAGAGTAAGAACACTCAGTCCTGGATCAGAGACAGACAACAGAAGCTGCAGTCTGTGGGCGCTCACACACCACCTGAAGAGAGAACCAACACAGCTCAGGTCTGTCTGAACTCACTGTACTGTAGTAACAATGTGTTTTATGACTTTTGATACATTGGCTTTAACAAGATATGGACAGTAATGCAGTTTACAACACCCCTCTTTCTGGGGTTGAACTACTCTGTGTGTTTTGGTGGTCAGAAAAGTCATATGAAATACTTCATGCCAAAAAACAACATCAGCATGCTAAGGTTAGCAAACTTCTCAAAGCCAAGCAGCAACCTCCGTTGCTGCAAATTAAATTAGTTTATTCCTTGTTTCAAATGTCTAAAGTTTGAATGAATCAAATTTATTGCGTTTAATAAATATTGTGTGGGTTTTTTTTGTCTGTAGACCATCTTGAGCTCCAAACCTGAAGGTGACTGTAAAGTGAACAACCTGAGGAGGCGAGGCCAGAGTCTGTGTAACCATCAGGACGCAGACAAGGGCAGGAAAGCCCACGTTCAGCAGGCAGTCAGAGACACAGAGGAGCAGTGGAAGACGGTCCTGCAGGCTGCTAAACAGGTCGAAGCCGCTGCAGGAGCTGAGATCACCCAGGAGGCCGAGAGAAAGAAGCTGGAGGTAAGAGAACTCAAACTGTAGACTGAGTTATCCAGAATGACTAATAGTGTAAAATCTTGTGCTACCACTGAAAGCCAGCATATGAGTGATTAAAAAAAGTATCCATCCACAAGCAACTTGGAAGTCTTTGTCCATGTTGAGAGCTTTTTGTGAAATCCCTTGCAGCTCTTTCTTCTGTTACGGTTCTTTCTTTTCTTTTTCTCTCTTTTAAGCCCATAAGGTAGAACTTCTTAAAAGTGCATGTAACACAGAAAAGCACGTTGATTTGCTCTGAGTGGAAGCTACCAGACAGCACAAGGACTCCAGCCAATCTGAGCATGGTGACATTCATTACTAAGGACCATGTCGTTTATCTTTATATATATAACAACTTGACCGCAAAGCATCTCCCTGAACCACGTAAAATAAAGTATGTAGAAAAGAATATATTGATATATAAATATAAAGATAGTCAGCACATATTTACACAATAAAATAGATTGCTAAAACACAAATGATTCAAATGATTCAACTAGATACAACTAGAATATGTAGAGAAAACATGATTCAGTTCTTGACGAGAGTAGTGCAAAAAACGTCTCATTCTCAACCTATAAAACTGTCTTAATATCAACCTACAGTGAATGTATATTACTTGGAATATATTTGATAAGTAAATATTTGATACACTTTGGTTAGGACAACTACTGAATGGCAGTATGTGACCATGCACACACAGTGGGAGTGTCCTCCTCCGTCCTGTTGGTGGGCAGTTTTTGTTGATCCAGTTTGAACCTACTCATTATGTATGTATATTTCCCTTTTCAGCTGAGAGAATTTGATACCCATCAGCAGGACACTGGCAGCTGGCTTAAAGACTTCCAACAACAACTGGACTCACTGAACAGCCAAACCAAAGCTGAGGACAGACTGCACACAGCTCAGGTGAGCTGCTGGGTCATGTTAAAGGGAGCAACAACATCCTTCTCTAGCACAAAAATGCATTGAGTTTTTCACTGCACATTTTGTAAGCCTCTTTTAGCTCATTTTTGTCACATTTGGTTCAGCACTTTCATCAAACCAGTGTAAGTTTAGTTAGTCACCTGCTAAAGTGACGTGAATTTGTATTTGGTTTGTGCCCAAATAATGCTGTGGATTTCACAGATTACGTTCATGGCAAGTCTTAACTATGCAATGTCCGTATCTTATCCCCAGGCCATTATGAGCTCCAAGCCCCAAGGAGACTCCAAGCTCCAGGAGCTCAGGAGACGAAGCCAGAGTTTGTGTGGGGAGGACCTCGAGGAACACAAAAAACAAGAGCTTCAGCAAAAAGTAAGAGGCGCTGAAGAGCAGTGGACAAGAGTCATGCAAAATGCCAAACAAGCCCTGGATCAGGCTGAGAAACAGTGTGCTCTGGAGGGCCAGCTGAGAGACTATAAAGCCCTGAGAGAAAACACCAGAACTTGGCTGGAAGACAAGCAGCAGAGCCTTGTGTCCCTGGACAGTCAGAGAGACCCAGAAAGCATCATCAACACTGCACAGGTCAGTTTGAACCATAAAAGGTTTTCAGCAAAGATATATCCAGCAGATCCTCCAGATTTAGCTGACAAGCATGCAATTTTTGCTCTTAGTCTAAATTATTCAAGCTGTCACGCCTTCACATATGCATGCTTTTTTAATCCTAAGCAGAAATAGGTTAGTTTTTCTTGTAGTGTTTTTGATATTAATATTTAATCACCACTAATCAAGGTATGATTATTGTATGTACAGGATTGATTTGTTGTTGGGGTTTTTTTGTATTAATCACTCTCCACATTCCATCACATCTGTATTTACCTATGTGTTAACAACACTTTGTAACTTCAGTTTCAAAAGTGTAATTAAAGTGTAATAAAGTGTGTAAAGTGTAAGTGTAGTTAAATATTTCTTGATACTCAGACTATCCTGAGCTGTAAGCCTGAGGGAGACTCCAAGCTGACAGAACTGAGGAGACAGAGCCAGAGTCTGTCCGACCAGGAGGACCTGGAGGAGAACGCGAGACGAGAGGCCCAGCAGATGGTAAAAGACTCAGAGGAGCAGTGGAGGATGGTCCTGCAGTCCGCTGAGAACACTCTGAAGAAAGCAGAGCTCCAGTACTCACTCTCCAGGGAGCTGGAAGGCTTCCGTATCCAAGCAGAGAGCACAAAGACCTGGGTTAAAGAGCTGCAGCAACAGGCTGAGTCCAAAGGGAGCAGCACTCAGGGCAGCCGGGCTCAGATAGAGGACAGGCTGAACACAGCACAGGTAAAACATGAAATCTGAGGTGTGTTTTTTATTAATATGTAACGGTAATTCAGGGAGGTTTGTCAGGCAACAGATGAGAAAACTGTGTATGATTGTGTATTTAGGTCATCCTGAGCTCCAGGTCCAATGGTGAGGCTCAAGTGACGGGGCTGAAGAAACGAGCACAGAGCCTTTGTGAGCAAAAAGACCTGGAGGGAGACAAGAAACTGGAGGTTCAGCAGACAGTCAAAGACACTGAGCAGCAGTGGAGGATGATCCTGCAGGCTGCTGAGGAGACACAGAGGTGCTGGATGCTGTTTTTAGCCTCCTGTGGCTGAGAAAACTATTTAGATTTCATTTTCAGTTGCCTCTCAGGGCTTCCATATGAATGAAACCATAAAGATTAACTTTCAAAACAGAAGTTGTTCCTGATAGATTACATATTTGTTTTGTAGCTAAATGACAACCTGAATGTTTTGCTCATTGCTTGCTGATAAAAAAGAGATGGAACAAAAACAACCATTGGTTAAGGTTAAGTAGCTAATGTCAAAGTGCATTAAGATACAGAAACAATAATGAAGGCTAGATTCTTGTTTTAAATAATAACTTTAAAACGTTTTAAAAAAAATACCAAGTCAGTAATTTATTTGCCCAAGAAGTTTGGATTTTCTGCCCCCAGTTACTGACAAACCCAAACCCAACCTTCAGATGTCCTTGAAATGACATTGTACTGTATCCATGTTTTCTATTCATGTGTCTGTGATCACTTGAATTTGAAGGTTGAACCTGATGTCCTAATCTTACACCTGCTTTTACCCATCAGGCAATTGAAGGGTGTTGTGGAGCGCCTGGCGTCCTCTCAGCACCAGCGAGGTCAGGCTGAGGCCCGTCTGTCTGAGCTTCAGAAGCAGACATCCAGCCTGCCGCGTGCCTTCCCCTGGCCGGGCCTGGGAGAGAGGAGGCAGGCGGTGGAACAGGCTCGGACCCTGCTGGACCAGAGCACAGCTTTGGTCCCCGTCCTCTCAGACGTACGCAAACAGGTAAAGACCTGAACTAAAGGACTAGTGTTTTTTCGAATATAATAAATCATTATTCATGAAAATGTAATATAAACTAAAAAAGATTTCAACCTATACTGCACTGTTCTCCTCAAGGCCGCACAGCTGTTTGAGATCACACAGGACCGTGGCTGGTCAGATCCCTCCTGGGAAGCCAAGGAGGAGTTCATTCCTGCCCTGCTGAAAGACCTGACTGTAAGTTATTAGAGACACGATCTACAGTAATCCTAAAGAAAAATAAAAGGAGCATCTTTATTGTTGACTTTTTTAATGATTTAAGTTTTTCATTGTCCCAATATAATAGTATATTTGCATTGAGAAGTGTTGATGTAAATATGATGTAATTCATAATTAATAACAATAGTTAATTTCATAATGTGTCAGTTTTAGAAAATGCAAGTGTCTTATATCTTTTACAATTTATTATTAGTAGATCCTTTTATTTATGGGCAGTTATCTTTATAACACTGGAATGCTATAAAACTAGTGTGTTCTCTTATTTTCTGGCTAAAGGTTAAAACTGTATTATCAAGCTTTTCCATTCAGCACAACCACCACTAAATCATGTGTTTTATTCCTTCCTCGCCCCAAAGAACAAGATCATCTCTCCTGGCCCCTGCCTTTATCCCTTTTGTTTTCCTTCAGTCTCCCTTTTAAAAGTAGAAGACATTCTGCTAAATAACATAATAATAATATGATATTATAGTCTTATAATAATAAAATTGTAATAAGAGTCGCCAAAATTCTACTTTACTCCTTTGTTTTTAGGCTGCTATAGCTAACCTGGAGCAGGGCATTCTGACGGAGAGGCAGTGCACCCAGCTGGTGGAGCAGCATGAAGCAGCCCAGGACTGGCTGAGGGAGCAGGTTAAAGGCCTGGGAGCTCCTCCAGCAGACAGACAGGGTCTGCACAGCACAGTCAACACTCTGAAGGTCAGATAATAAAACACACAATGTAGTGTGGCACCTAGTTTGATTTGCCGCTGTTGTATTGCACCAAACTGAAGACATCTCTTTTATAGTAACAAACCAATACATTTCTAACACATTTGAGGAAGACATCACAAAGTTGTACTTAAAGACGTGGGTTATAATGTAGTCATAACAAATGTTATTTCATTTGGCAGTCTGAAAAATTAAAAACTGCCTAATTAAATTGTAGTTTGTAGTTCTTTTTTGTAGCCCATCTACAATGCACATGTTGAGTACTCTCAAGTGTGAACATATCTGGAGAAAACCAAAACCTCAAAATCTTTCTGAATATTTTAATTTGTTACAACTTAACTTAATAGTCAAAAGCTCTTTACAGGGATGTGAGAAACTGTTCTGTCTGCTTTCTAACAGTCTGTTTCTCCTCTTTCCCCCTCCTGATGCCAGGCTTTGCTCCAGACAGTGGACAGGGAGCAGAGAGAGATGAAGGAGCTGGACTCCACCAGGGACAGTTTGCTGGACCTCTGTACCCCTGGAGGTCGGGATGCTCTCATCCTGGAGGTCAGCCATCTCCACGACCTCTGTGCCACCTCAGAGCAGGAAGTGAGGGACCGCCTGACAGCCTGTGAGACACGGATGGGGGAGCTGGACGCTCAGCTGGTCAGAAGGACCCAGGGGCTGAAGGAGAGATCTGCAGCCCTGCAGTGGGAGCTCCGCTCTCTGGACCAGGCGCTTAGTTATAGTGAACCACAGAACAACATCACCCAGCTCCAACAGCACTGGCACAGCCTTCAGGTTACTATTTTAATTTATCCAAGCACAAAACCTCATGTAACTACCACTTTTATTATCTAACTACGCTGAGTTCCCACAGAAACCTGAGGAAGAAGGTTATGTACAGTAAGTGAATATTGGAGTTTTTCCATCTGCAGGCGTGTGAGTTTTTCTAACATGATGTTGTTGCAGACATGTGAATATTACTTAACGTGATGTTGATGTGCATCCCCTGTTAGAACTGTGAGAAGTCACTAGAAGATTTGGGTGTCAAAGTTCAGGACCTTTACCAGGAAGTAAAGGCTGCACCTGCCACTGACGAGCTGCCAGCAGAAATTATCACTGTGGTGGAGTCTTTACGCCAGCAGCAAGACAGGTAACACATCTTACAGCTGATGTCATTTCCTTCTGGTGTAGGAGAGATGTCACAAATAGATCATAAAAACACTATATAGGTGATTAATCATGACATCCGATTGTTACCGTGGTCATGTTTGATTCATGTATTTATGATTCACTCTCACTCAGTATAAACAGGGAAGAGATGGTCTGAGAACAAACCAAACTCGCATGATATGCAGTAACATCTGTCCACTTCACCACTGGGTTTTTTTTAAAAACTGCCTACTTGAACAGATTCTACATGACAAATACTCAGCTGGCCTCCCTCTATTTCAATTTAGCTTTCAGTTGTTCTTACATACCAGCAAAATACCTTTGTGGGTCATTCTGCTCTTGACATGGAAACACAGGAGTTCTCGCAATTTTCTCCTGATTTGAAACCAAAGATTTCATGTTATCTAATACCTGGTTTCTTGAACTAAGCAATGGCTCACATCTGTACATAAACATTTCTCTATTGTTATTTGTTGCTTGCATGGGTTCCTTTTGAACAATGTTTCAAGAGGAAAAAGGATATTTTTTTCATTTGGATCTCATTTAGTGTAATACATGCAGATGCCATGCAAAATGTTGCGTTTACAATAAATGTGATTCATTTATGTCTACAGTCTAAAGTCCAGGCTAAGCGAGCGCCAGGGTACCTGCTCTACAAACACAGCTCGCTGCCTGATGGACTCCCTTCACGCCCTGCAGGAATGGAACCAAAGCAAACCATCAGAGTCCAGTTCTTCTGTGCAGGTTTCTGTCTTTTAATGCTTTCACTGTTTTGGTAGGCAATGTAAGTGCTTTATTTCACTAAACATTTGTGCAGTTAAATATGTAACTGAGAAAGCTTCCTAGTAAAGTTAGTCTTCTACTGATGTTTGTGTTGAACATATGAAGACTGTCATTCATTATATCCTGTTCAGCATTTCTAATATCTCCTTTAATCATAATCATGTAAAATTATGTTGCAAGTTTGTTTGGAAAATATACATTAATTGAAAGAGAAAAAAGAGTAATGGGTTTTTCATCAAAGAAGGGTTTCTGAGTCTAAGCATTCGTGAAGTGTAATATTTCCAGTCGATGGAGCACTCAGCACAGCACATAGCGGCTATGATCTCTTGGCAATGTGTGATTGATTTTGTCATGACATTTCACACATAAACACAGATTTTTTTGTCATTACAAGCACTTTAACATTTTTTTCCTTCTGGTGTTAGGCAACGCTAGAGGAAGGTGAAAAGTTGCAGGAAAGCCTGCAGGAGGCGCTTTCTCACAAACAGTTTCTAACAGACTGTTTAATACCGGTCTTGTTTGAGAAACTGGGAAGAGAGGGTTCAGAGACACTCAGAGAAGCAGACAAACATAAGACTTCTCTCAGCCAGAGCTTAAAGGTATTTAAATCATGATCAAGATTAAAGATTACTATACTTAAGAAACAGTTAAGTAACTCTGTAGTGATTATTGCTATTTGTATCTTTTCTTTCAAGGAACTTAATGAAAGGAGTAAACAAAAGCTGCCTGATGTTCTAAAAGAGATGAAGACATCTGTAGTGCCACCACCACGAAAAAACAAGCGCTCAACTGAGAAAAAAGATCAATTTCACCTACAGAAAAACATTCCCTTAACAGAAAAATCTGTTGATGATGAAATATCAGTTTCATCTGAGCTGCAAACTGAGGCTAAACCATTATTGCCAACAGCAGCCATGAAGGACACAAGTATTACTGTTGTGGAGCAAACCAGAATTGAACCAACAAAAGAGAAATTTCCGAGTACAACATGTGCTTCAGTACCTTTTACAGCACAACATACCTCTCAAGAGGCACAGTTTAAAAGTATAAAGGTAGATATCACAGCTGAGCCTGCTGCAGCTGAGCAAATGAAACCTGCTGCTGAGGGTCCTGTACTGATCCAAAAGGTCATTGAGCAGTCTGCACCGGGTGTTAGTGATAAAACTACACCTGTTCCATCCAGGAGAAGGTCCAAGACTTCAGCCACTGATACAGAGCCTGCCCAGACTAAGGTGGAGCCTGAAATGGTGAAAACTATTATTACTGAAGAGGCATCCAGAAATCAGACAGGAACCACTGCTGTGAAAGAAACCACAAAAGTAGATGATACCCTGCAGAGTCTAGACGTGTCCTCAAAGATTACTGTGGCAAAACCTGCACTGATCAAGGGCGACGGTGTGAATCTGACGTATCTCCCAACTTCAGTGCCTATCACAGAAACAGATGCTGGGCAACCTAAGTCTGTATCAAAAAGGCAAGAGTCGAAGAGTTCTACAATTTCAGAGCCAGTCGCTACCCAAAGTAAAACTACAAAATACTATGCAGAGCTTGAAGAAACTAAGGAAGAACCTAAGAATGGGAAGACTTCTACAACTGCACAGCTGATCACACAACCAGTTGAAACTGCTGTTTTGAGAGAAAGTAATCTTTCACCTACCAAAAGAAAGTCAAAGCCAAAACTTTCCCCCGAAATTTCTAGCAAGGAGAAAACACAGACCATGGAAAAGCCTGACCATGAGGTAGCTTTACTGAGATCCAAGAATGAAGCTGCTCTAGTGGAGGAAGAAACTAAGGTCATACCAACCAGAAAGAAGTCAAATAGTCTAGATATTTCCACTGTTCCAGAGCCAGTGTCGACTGTTGAAAGAACAGCAGGTTTTGTGAAGGAACCTGAGAAGAATTCAACCTCACAGTTTGTTCCAGAGTCAACTAAAACTGCTGTTTTGGTACAAAGTGAGGTTTTACCACCCAAGCGAAAATCAAAGAGTCCAAAACTTTACCCAAAACAGGCCGACCAGCAGGCAGCACAGATGATTAAAGAACCGGAAAGGTCTGATTTGAGTTTGAGGGAGCAAGCTGAAAGTGTAATGATTAAGGAAACAAAGCTCATACCAACCAGAAGAAAATCAAAAAGTGCTGAACCTACCACAACTTTGCAGCAAGTAGAACTTGAAGATAATAAGAAAGAACCTGACAGCCTGAAGTCTTCTTCAACTGCACAGGTGGTCATAGAACCAACTGTTGTTGTGACAGAAAATAAGCTTTCTCCAACCAAAAGAAGATCAAAGGGCGCAACACTATCCCCAGAACATGATACCAAAGAGGTAGCAGAGACTAAGCAAGACCCTGGAAGCCAGGAACCTTCATCAAGCTCCACAGTGCAAACTGAAACAGTTGTTGTTGAAGAAACAAAGAATATAGCAACCATTATTCTAGATGTTTCAGAGCCATACACTAATACCCCTGTAACAACTCCCACTGAGGTAAAAGCAGCTAGGAGGAAGTCAAAGAGTAATGAACTTACCACAACTGTGGACCACTCTGAACCTGAAGATGATAAAAAAGAACCTGACAGAGGGAGTGCTTCTTTAGCTGCTCAGGTAGTCACAGGACATGCTGCACAGGCCATGAATAAGCATGGAAAAGCACGTCAGTTAACTGAAGTTGCCATTGTGGAAGAAACTAAGGTTATACCAATCAGAAGGAAGTCAAAGGAAGAGCCTGATCTTCAGAAGCCATCTCTAACACCAGGCGTGGTCATAAGACCAACTGAAATTACTGAAACTACCAAGGTGGAAAAAGGTAAACTTTCACCAACCAAAAGAAAGTCAAAGGGTCTAAAACTTTCCCTAGAAGTTGCTACCACAGAGTTAACACAGACCATGGAAGAACCTCACAGTCAGAAACTATCTTCGACTTCAGAGGTGGTCACAACAACAACTGAAATTACTGTTGTGGAAAAAGGAAAGCTTTCACCAACCAAAAGGAAGTCGAAGGGTCTGAAGATTTCCCCAGAACTTGCAACCACAGAGCTGACACAGACCATGGAAGAGTCTGACACTCAAAAACCATCTTCAACTTCAGAGGTGGTAACAACAACAACTGAAATTACTGTTGGGGAAAAAGGAAAGCTTTCACCAACCAAAAGGAAGTCGAAAGGTCTGAAACTTTCTCCAGAACTTGCAACCACAGAGCCCAAGGAAGCACCTGGCGCACAAAAACCATCTTCAACCTCAGAGGTGGTCAAAACAACTACTGAAATTACTGTTTTGGAAAAAGGTACACTTTCACCAACCAAAAGACACTCAAAGGGTTTGAAATCTTCCTCAGAACTTGCAGCCACAATGCTGACACAGACCAAGGAAGAACCTGACAGCCTGAAGTCTTCTTCAACACCAGAAGTGCTCACAGAAGCAACTGTAGGAAGTCAGAATCCTTCTTTGAGCTCCAGAGTGCAAACTAAAAATGTTGTTGTTGAAGAAACAAAGAAGATAGCAACTATTATTCTAGATGTTTCAGAGCCATTCACTACTGCCCCTGTAACAACTGATCCTGAAGTTCTACCTACCAGGAGGAAGTCAAAGAGTGCTGAACCTACCCAAACATTGCAGCAAGTAGAACCTAAAGATAATGAGAAAGAAACTGAAAGCCTAAAGTCATCTTCAGCTCCACAGGTGGTCACAGAACCAACTGTTGTAAAAGAAAACAAGCTTTCTCCAACCCCAGAACATGATGCCAAGAAAGTGGCAGAGACTAAGCAAGACCCTGGAAGTCAGGAACCTTCATCAAGCTCCACAGTGCAAACTGAAACAGTTGTTGTTGGAGAAACAAAGAATATAGCAACCATTCTTCTAGATGTTTCAGAGCCATTCATTACTGTCCCTGTAACAACTGCTCCTAAAGTTACACCAACCAGGAGGAAGTCAAAGAGTCTTGAGGTTTCCTCAGTTCCAGAGTCAGTATCTCCCCTTGGTAAAGTTACTGGTGTGGAGCCAAGAGAAACAAAACAAGAACCTGTAAATAATACCACAACCCCAGAGTTTGTTCAAGGACAGACTGAAACTGCTGTTATGGAACGAAGTAAGTTTCTACCACCCAAGAGAAAGTCAAAGAGCACAGAACTTCCTCTTAAACCTGCTGACACTGAGGTGCCTCAGACAAGGGAAGAGCCTGAAGGTCATAGGTCTTTGAGTTCCAATGACCAAAATAAAAATGTTGTCATTGAAAAAACAAAGTTTGCACCAACCAGAAGAAAGTCAAAGAGTGGTGACTTTTCCACAGCTTCTGAGACAGTTAGCCATGTTGGATCACCTGATGTGGAGCCTGAACAAAATAAGAAAGAACTAGACAGTCAAACGTCCTCCACTCAGGATGTGGTCACAGGACCAATCCAAAGTACTGTTGTAGAAAAGGAAAAAGCTAAGCTAAGCAAACGAAAGTCAAAGGGTCTAAAACTCTCCCCAGAGCTTGCTACCAAGGATGTGACAGAGACCAAAAAAGAGCCTGACAGACGGAGGTCTTTAGAGCAAACTGAAACAATTGTTTTGAAAGAAACAAAGCTTTTACCAACCAGGAGGAAGTCAAAAAGTTTTGATGTTTCTGCAGCTCTAGAGCCTGTCATTGGTGGAACTTTTGATTCACAGTCAAAGGAAGCGAGGATGAAACTTGAAAGTGGGAGTGTTTCTGCAACTGCACACTTAGTCGCAGGAATAACTGAAACACAGGCAATGGAAAAGCATGGACAAGCAAGTCAGTTAACTGAAGCTGCTGTTGTGGAAACTAAGACTATACCAATCAGGAGGAAGTCAAAGGAAGGCCCTGACAGTCAGAAGCCATCTCTAACTCCAGGTATGGTTAAAGGACCAGCTGAAATTAGTGAAACTATTGTCGAAAAAGGTAAGCTTTCACCAACCAAAAGAAAGTCAAAGGGTCTGAAACTTTCCCCAGAACCTGCTACTACTGAGCTGACCCAGTCTAAGCAAGAACCTAAAACTCAAAAACCATTGTCAACTTCAGAGGTGGTAACAACAACAACTGAATTTACGGTTGTGGAAAAAGATACATTCTCACCAACCAAAACACAACCGAAGGGTCTGAAACTTTCCCCAGAACTTGCAACCACAGAGCTGACAAAGCCCAAGGAAGCACCTGACACACAAAAACCATCTTCAACCTCAGATGTGGTCAAAACAACAACAGAAATTACTTTTGTGGAAAGAGGAAAGCTTTCACCAACCAAAAGGAAGTCAAAGGGTTTTAAATTCTCCCAAGAACTTGCAACCGTGGAGCTGACAAAGCCCAAGGAAGACACTGACACTCAGAAACCATCATCAACTTCAGAGGTGGTCACAACAACAACTGAAATCACTTTTGTTTCACCAACTGAAGATGCGGTTATGGAAGAACCTAAGGTTATACCAACCAGGATGACCTTACCAGAGAGGGAGGAAATGTCATTTTCTCCGGAAACAGCATCTGCACTCAAAAGAAGCACAAATGAAACCGAGAAAAAGAAAGAACATGTGAATAAGTCTTCTGCAGCCCCAGAATTTGCTCCTGCTGAACCTTTCTCCAAACCTACTGACCCACCACTTGTGGCAGACTACATAGACGAGTTATGTAAAAACACTGCTGAGATTCAGAAGAGATATCTGGTCCTTGATCTGCCTGAAATAGGAGTCACCCAGACATTTGAGATAAAGCCACATCAGGCAGAGGCAGATACTGTGGTTGAAAGTGACTCCACTCAACCTACCTCTTCTATTTTTTCAGGGGCACAGCCTCACACAGAAAAAACTGAGTTTTTAGGAATAAACTCATCAAAGGGAGAAATAATAAAACCAAGTGAAACTGTGAGTCAGCTGAAGTTCTTGGAAACCACTCAGGAAAAACCCAAAAAGGACATGGTACATGGTGTCAAAGAAGAGCATGATAAAGTATCTACATGTGACATTCATGATGCACCTAAGAGCCTGGAGAAGAACCCTTTCAGTCTGAAAGAAATCCTCAAGGGGGCTGACGTGCACATTTTAGAAATGAATACACAGACTGGTATACATAAGCAAGAACAAACAACTGTCTCAACAGACAGACAGCCAGTGATGGATATGCACCAATCAAGTATGCAATGTAAGACAGAACCACAAAGCAAGAATATTACTATCACTGATATTCAGCCAGATAAGGCTGCAGTTAAGATGACCAGGGTAGAAGTGCAGAAAAGTATTAGAAAATGTCAAGACACTGGAGCAGCAGTGCAGCCAAGTGTAGCAAAGACAACATTTGCACAAATAAGCTTATCTGAACAAGACAAAGTAAAACCAAGCCAAAAGTTGGAGCTCTTGAGAACCACACAGGAAAGACCCAAAGAGGCCAAGGATGATGTCCAGGGAGAGGATGGTCAAGTGTTGACACATGATGCGCATGATGCACCAAAGAGCCTGGATGAAAAGTCTGTTAAGGAAATCCACTTGGGGCCTGAAGTGTGCATTCTACAACTAGATATACAGACAAGTCAAGAGGAGGAAAACACATCTGTCACAGGATCTGTTCAAACAAGTATCCAGAGTGAAAGAGTGCCAAAAAGCAAAGATAGGACTGAATCTGAAGTTAAGCCAGAGGAGGGTGCAATTAAGATGACTACAATAGAAGTGGGAGAAAGCAGTACTGAATGTCAAGACAATGTGGCTCAAAGGGACTCTGAACAAGAAATGGTGAAACCAAGCCAAACTCATGCTCAAATAGGTCTGTTAAAAACCACACAGGAAAGACCTAAAGTGGTGAAGGAACATGGTGTCCAAGAACAGAATCCTACACTTAAGAGCTTGGATGAAAAATCTGTTTCAGTGGAGAAGATGTGTGAAAACAAATCTGTCACAATAGCAAAAAAAACAGGGATAGATATTGTTCAAACACATATTCAGTGTGAAAAGGTGCCTGAAAACAAAGGTATTACTGCTGCTGATGTTACGCCAGAGAAAGCTGCAGTTGAAAAGACTATGATAACAGTGAAAGAAAGCAGTACTGAAGGTCAAGCCAATAAGCCTCAAAGAGACTATGCTCAATGGACCTCTCCTGCTTCTGACTCATTACAACCACATGTGACAGAGACAGAATTTATAGAAATAAACATATATGAGCAAGACATAGTAAAACCAATCCAAACTGAATCTAAAATAGAGCTCTTGAAAACCACACAGGATAGACCTACAGAGGTCAAGGACCATGGGGAAGAGCATCCTAAAGTGTCTGTTCAGAAAATCCACATGGGACCTGAAGTGCATGTTTTGAAACCAGATACACCGACCAGTTTTGAGCATCGTGAAAACATCTCTGTCATTATTGCAAAGAAGCTAAGGATAGATACAGTTCAAACTAGTGTACCGTGCGAAAAAATGCCTGAAAACAAAGATGAAACTTCAGCTGATGTTAAGCTAGAGAAGGCTGCAGTTAAGACAAGAGTAGAAGTGCAACAAATCAACACTGAAAAGAAAGAGAATGTGGATCACAGTGACTCCACTCAACCCACCTCTGTTGCTTTTGCAGCAGTGCAGCCAAGTGAAGCAGAGACAACATTTACAGAAATAATCTTATCTGAGCAAGACACAGTAAAACCAAGTGAAACTGTGATTAACTTAGAGCTCATGAAAACCACACCCAAAAAGGTCAAGGATGGCAACGTGCATGCTGAAGATTCAACAAAAAATGTGCATGATACACCCCAGAGCCTTGCTGAAAAGTCTGTTATGATAGCAAAGGCACCAAGGATTGATATAGATCAAGCAAGTATCCAGTGTGAAATAGTGCCAGAAAACAAGGACTTGACTTCAGCTGATGTTCAGCCAGAGAAGGATACAGTAAAGATGACCACGGTCAAAGTGAACACCAAAGAACATGAAGAAGTGTCAGAAAACGAAGATAAGACTACGCCTGAGGTTCACCCTGAGAACTCTGCAGTTGAAAAGACAAGAGTAGAAGTGCAAGAAATCAGTACTAAAAGGCAAGAGACTGTGGCTGAACGTGACTCCACTCACCTACCTACCTCTGCCACTGTAACTGCTCAGCCCCATGATCCAGGGACAGAAATTGTTGAGATAACCTTGTCTGAACAAGACCAGTTGAAACCAAGCCAAACTGTGACTCAAATAGAAATCTTCAAAACCACACAGGAAAGAACCAAAGAGGTCAAGGTTCATAGTGTTCATGAAAAACCGGCTGAAGTCCTATCACGTGATGTACCCAAGAGCCTGGATGAAAAGTCTGTTAAAAAGGGAGAAATCCACATGAGTGTACATGAATACAAAACTGTCACAATAGAAAAGGAACCACGGATGGAATCAAGTGTCGACTTTGAGACAGTTAAAGGAAGCAAGGATGTGACTACCACTGATATTCAACTTGACAAGTCTGCAGTTAAGATGACCAGCGTAGAAGTGCGAGAAAGCTTTACTGAATCCCTGTCTGAACGCAGTGTGGTCCGTAGAACCCAAACAGAGAGACACACAACAGATGCAAAGGAGGAAGAACAGAAGGAGGGGAACAGAAGGACAATTCAGGAAGAGGAAAGGGAAAAAATTGTCACAGTAGGAGTACAAAATGTTCAACTTCCAATGACCACGACCACCACCACTGGTGAAGTGAGGCTTCAGAGTATGGATTTGCCACAGGTAAGACATTTGGGGGGGTGGGTGTTACAGTTATATACAGTATGATACAATAAAATAACTCTTTGGACTGGACTATGTTTAGTTTGTTTTGGAAGGGACTGTCCTTGTGATATTTGGCAGTTTGTAGTTAATTCTAAATAAACTACTGTCACAAGTAAACACTATTATTATTATTTCAAGTAAAATTCTAGTACTATATGACTCATAGAACTGACTCACCACTATGTTACATGTCCATAATATCTGACATTTGTGATTACAATAGACAATAATATTGCATACTTAAAGACAGGTTGAGTAGACAGAAAGAGGGAGTGTGAGAGAGAAAACAGTATTCAGAGAAAAATAGGATAAATATAGAATTTTGCTTGAGGGACATCAGTAATGTATACCATCTATTATGCTCAGTTTCTTGCACATACTTGTTTGCTCATGCTCCCTAACATTCTTGCACCAAAGAGGTGCATAAATGACTGGTCAGTGTGTCTTTAGAGCCTCTGTAAAAAAAAAAAAAAAAAAATATGAGTTCTTAAGATATTTACTTATTTAGAGTTGTAACAGGGGCACACACAGCTACATTTCATTAGCATTGTAGGCAAAGCAGAGAATAAAGGCCTGAGACGTTTACTCCTGTGCGACTAAAGGTTTTATTGCCTCGGGGTAGGAAACATAAACTTGCTCATACATGTTAACAGTGACACACTGTGACTGTCAAAGGGTGTAGGGAGAGGCTTGGTACAGTCCTGAGAAAACAAATCATTCAAATGGTATAGTCTTGTTTTACAAAGGGGTGACACAGTTCTTTTCTCAGCTCAACCGAAACTCTATACAATTGTTTGTCAGAATTTTTTCCTGCATTAACACTGGTGTTTTGTCTTCACAATGGGAGCAGGTGTACAAGGCTGACAAGATATCACCAGCATCATCGCAGGCAGTTCAGAAAGCTTCACCTGACATTATCTGGGGTGAGGCAACCCTGGTGGAAGGATTGCCTTCTCAGGAAAACAAAGCTCAAACAGTAACAAGTGTTGTGACGACTGAGAAACTTGTTCTGGAGGTACCAGAGGGAACTGCCATGGGGAGCATCTTTACAGAAATACAGCTACTTGCAGGGACAGGACCCAACAGTCAACTCATTAAGGTATCATGATTACTGTGCGCCACAGTCATTTTTTAAGACTACCACTAGGAGTCGCCAAAGTTAGACTTAGTCAAATCCTACACATAGGTATGTGTGTAAGGAATATATTATTATATATTATGAGAATACTAGTGTGATGAGCATGTACTGTCAGCATTGGAGGTTTGAATCTAGCTATTCATTTCATCTCTTTTATATCCTTTCTGTTGCTCTCCACTAGATATTAACAAATTGACAGTGAACAATGGTGGCAAAAGCAAGATTCCTTTTTTTAATTTGATCATGATTGAACAACATCAAAACCGATTTTGGACCTCAGCTGGACATTTTGAGACTCTAATGTGTTTCTGTGTCTTAAGGGTAAACCATTGGAGGATGCTCCACAGGCTCTGATTACATCCACCAGTGACCTGGACAATCGTCTGAGCAGGCTGGTGTCTAAAGTCCTGAGCTGCAAGAACCATCCAGCTGAGCTCAACCCAACAGCCATGGCCCAGCAGCTGGAGGAGGCTCAGGTGCGATATTCAGAATGACAGGGTGCATGACTCACTAGAAAATTTGTAGATACTGTGAAATTGGACAGCACATGTTCCTCCAGAACTGGGCATTTCTAATGCATATCTGTACCAGCCTGTTGGATATTAAAAACAAGTACATAAGAATTGTACAATAGGCCCTTACCATTTGTGACTGTTGAAAAAACCTGCTCATAGCATTTATTTGTTTAGTAATAATTAGATAATCTCAACATAAATAATGAACATAACAAAGAGATGTAAATAAGTGTGTTTACTTTTACAGGAGTGCAGAGAGACTGCCCAGGCACAGGTGTCATTGCTCTCTCAGTTGAAAGGCGCTGATGCTGAGAACAGGGATGCTCTGGAGCTTCTAGAGGACCAGTGGTGTACTGCTGTTCAGGATGCAGCTGCTGTTATCCAGAGTAAAGAGGCCCAACTGCAGGTGCTGACTGATTACTGCAGACAGACCCAAGCAGCCAAGACCATGCTGGAGAGACTGACAGCAGAACTTGATGCTGTTAAAATGTGAGTTATTTATGGTTTCCTTTTAATTTCTTGTAATGTAATGTAATGTAATCGCAACACCTCCTCTCGTACTCCTATGACTTGACTGTTTGTCTTTTCAGTTCCCCAGAGGAGAGCAGCTCCAAGGATGCAGAGCGACTAGCCTCCTTACAGAGAAGTATAGAGGAAAACAGAACAGTACTTGGGGAGATGCTCGTAACCCATACCAAGCTATGTCCCCACCTCAGCCGGTCGGAGCAGGCAACCGCACAGACTGAGCAGAAGGATCTACAAGAAAAGTGGAGAAGCCTGGAAAGAGCAGTCGAGAGGACCTTGTATCACACAAATATTCATTCTCACGAGACCAACAGCCTTCTGTCTGCAATATCAAGTCTTCAGGAACATTTGGAGACAATCAGCAAAGAGCTTGAAGCCAAATCACCTTCAGTTACTCAATGGAATTGCAAGAAGGTGCAGAAGCTGATGGTGGCAAATGCTGAGGTTAAAGCTGCCCAGCAAAAATACCTTTATTTGCAGCAGCTGTCAGAGGTGCTACTCATTACCTCACAGCGGGAGAAGGAAACACAAAAGATACAGCAGGGACTTCAGAGGGTCAAAGATCAGCTTTCCCACACAGAGGAACTAGTGTCTTCCCAAACTCAAAACAGCAGCAACCCCATCATGGAGAAAATTATCGTGGTGATGAGGGATGGCCTTGCCTGGGCAAAGCAGACAGAGAGTGACATTGAGGGCAGGAGGAAGAGGGTGGCTCTGCTCCCTGAGGAGGTGCACCGGCAGCTCAGAGATTTGAAGAAGCTGCAGTCTGAGGTCATGGCCAAAGAGGGCCAATTGGAGTCACTGGTGGAGGAGGTGACGGAGCTCCTTCCACAGTTGGACCAGGCTGAGGAAGTGCCCATTGTGCGCTCTTGTCTGGAATCCCTTCAAGAACTCTCAAAGTTGACTACTGAGAAGCTAGCCAAGGCTGTGAGAGAGATAGAGTCAGGACTGCAGACCAGAGAAAAACTGTCAGAGCAGATTGCTGACCTAGACTCCTGGGTTGTGGCTCATTTGCATAGAGAGGCCTTGAGGAGTGCAGATGATGAGCTCAGGAGCCCTACTGAACTTGATCGCAGAGTTCGTCAGATCCAAGAGACCGTGGCTGAGGCTGAAAAGCAGGGCCCTGTGTGTGAGGCTCTTTTAATGAAGAGTAAAGACATTGCCTCTGAACTCCGCATCACAGAGAACTGTCAGCTTTTTAACAAGCTTACCAATCTCCAGGAGGACATCCGAGACATCAGCAGCTATGAGAAGGCCAACAAAAAGGAGCTGCACGAACTCACCCAGACTGTAGATTCAAGCAAGAAAAACCTGGTCACCATTGAAAAAAGCCTTAGGCAGATGTTAGTAGATCTCAATAGACACAGGTACCCCATCATAAGAGAGTCTTTGCAGGCTTTGGAGCCTTTTAAACACATGATTTTGGAGTACAAGTCCCAGGTTGACCTTCTGCAATCTTGGATTCCCCAGGAAAAGACAAGGGAACTGTACTCAGTCATTTCTGAGCTTCACAGCAAAATGGCCACCCTTGAAATGAAATCCAGAGATCATGAGAGGTACCTGTACGTGAGGCAGTGTGTGGAGGACCTCAGGGAGAATGTTCAGGCGCAGGTCCATCAGACCAAAGAAGACAGCAGGGAGCTGGAGGAGAAGTATAAACTCTGTCAGGCGCTCCTCGTCCAGTTACCTCTATTAAAGTATTTGTCCGAGGAGGCTCACACCAAACTCCAGATGATTTCTGCTGACCTTTACCCCTCACAGCTGACCACAGAAAATCGCAGACTAAAACAAAATGAGGATAGCCTTGACACCTTGGAGATGACACTTTACAATAACCTTAGCATCCTTGAGAGGAAGCTGCTGAAGGAACTGGACCTGGAGTCCGAAAAGAAAACCACTCAGGCCTTCCTCTGGAAGAACCACCAGGAGCTCCAGAATTTCCCCATGTTGGAGCCAAATGAAACAGCAATTAAAAACGAATACTGCAGAATCCTGTCTTTGAAAAAGACTGTAGAGTCAAGAATGAGAGCGCTGGAGGTTCTAGAGAAGCAGAAGGGAACCAGACGAGGAAGCGGATCCCAAAATCTGATGGACTTGAAGAAAGCAGTCCTCATTGAATGTGACTCACAAATGGCAAGTTGCATTGTTTTTCTATTATTTATTTCAATTATCACAATAAAGGCATAAACAACTCCCTCCCCAGTTTTAATATATTACCTAAAACACTCATTTGGAAGATAACTTGTATGAAATATAAAAAATGGACTGTGAATCAAGACTGAAATGTGTAATTAAAAAATTGTGTTTATTATTTTTTAGGAGAACATCTCCCAGGCTAGGGACTCTTTGAGAAGCTACACATGTGCTGTTAAACAAGCAGTACAATTCCTAAGGGACATCGAGGTCTCTCTGCTGCCACCGCAGGGCTCTACTGGACTCTGCTCTGAAAGGCTGGAGGAGACCCAACAGGCTTTGGCCTCGCTGCAGCAGAGGTTCCAGACCCATGTGGAGCAGCTCCAGAGTCAAGTTGCCCTGCATCCTTACCTGTCCCCCCAGAAGGTGGAGCAGCTCCAGGAGAATATTCTGAGCCAGCTTCTGGTGAGGATGTCCACGCTCCAGGCAAAGGGACACATACGACTGGAGTGTCTGAGCAGGTAATAGACCTACCATAGACATTACACTACACAACCATTCTGTGCCTTCACATTTCTTTAGCTTCTTATTGCACATAAAAAAATCTATATGGTTTCTATTTCAGGTGTGCAGAAAATCACAGAAAATACACCAAGTGCCGAGATGAAATCATCCTGAGTGTGAAGAGCGCAGAGAACAACCTCTTACAGGTCATACGTCAAAAGGTCACCTGTCTCGCTGACTGCACTGACCAAGAAGCAAAGCTCAGAGTACGTATGAGACTGGTTGTGTTAGAAACAGAGAACATAAAAGCATTCAAGAAAAATAGACCTAAGTAATGGTTTTTGGCTTTGAGGTTTTTGAGGTTGATTACTTCCTCTTTTTTTAAGGTCAGACATATAGGCCAAAACATGCACTGGTCAATTTTGGGCTATTTTGCTTCCAAACATGTCTTATTACTTATTATTAGTGGAAAGAAAACGCCAAAATACATGTGTGTGTTGTATTAATATCTTCTACACTTTGTAGATTTCTCCTAAATTAAAAAGTTAGAAAATGCCTTTAAACATAACATTTCAGAAAACTAATAATTGTCTTATCAACTGTGGAAGTTTCATGGTGATATCTATTTTTAATAAATTGTACCCTAGTCACCTGTAGCATCTTCCCTTAAACTGTAACCTTTGATTAGATTGACATGCCTCTGTCTTGTGCAGGCTCTATGTGAGGAGGTGGAGTCCTTGCAGAGGCGTCTGGAGGAGCTGAAGGAGTGGTGCCCAGAGCAGAGCTGTTGTGGAGGCCGAGTGGCAACCGTGACTGTCGTCTGGAAACGGGTAACAAGACTACTTCGCTGCACACAAGAGCTGACAACTCGTAGTAAACAGAGGATCGCAGAATGGAGCGAAATCACCAACAGTGTAAGTTAAATTACAGGAAAAATATCTGAGAACTAATTTAATGAATCTTGTGTTTTTCTTAACATGAAACTACTTTAAATGACTTCTGTTATTTTGCAAATGTCACTACGTATTTATTCTAAATTTATTTGTTTGCATGAAGTGTAATTAGGACCATACTGTGTGTGACCCTCCTTTCAGGTGGAGAAGGCCTCCGTTGTCCTGGAGCAGGTGGAGGTGGAGCTTCCTGATGGCTCCCGTGTGAAGTCCTCTACCGAGGAGCTTCAGGACATGCTGCAGTCCTGGGAACAGTACCAGGACAGACTGGACTGTGAACATCGAGCCCTGTCCGCACTGGAACTCCGCACTGCCAGGCTGCTGGGTGTCCCCGCCCACCTGGAGCAGGCTCCTACCACTCCGCTCTGTCAGCAGCTACAGGCAATGCAGGCTCGATACGGCAGGTGAGATTGTGTATTTTGTGGAGTTCATAGCATTATTTACATTACCAGACGTCTTGGAGGAGAAGATCTATGATAGTCCAATTTAAAAATTATTGGACTGGTCTCCTCACATTTCTCATGAAAACAACGTTTGTTTGAAGACATTTGTGTAACATTTGAGGTTCTCCTTTTGTTAACGTGTAAATTATCCTTGTTCATAATGATTTATGCTCCTGTAAAATCAAAATTAAGAAGATTTTTCCAAATCTCCAAAGCAACTATTAGTCTGTTGACACAAAAAACTCAATTACCCATAAGCCCTAGTACGCTTGGATAAACAATCAGGGGAAAGTGGGTCAGACATAGACTGCAGTGCCTCTGAGGTTGCACAGTATTTAGATACATTTAAACTGACAGTACTTTAACTGCCATGAAGCTCCTTGCTTTAACTTCAATGGTGGATTTCGTTCGTAATGCAGACTTTCAGGGATTTAAGGTAAGAGGCTATAAAGTCGTTAAATTGTTGTTTAAACTGTTGGACATATGTGTTTGTGTGATTTCACAGTGTAAAGCAGAGGAGCAGGGAGGGTCTGGAAGCGGCCAGGATGGAGCTGGAGGAGAGAGAAAAGGTTCGGGAGGAGCTGCATGGCATCCGCGTTTGGTTGGAGGCTGCAGATGGTCTTCTGTCAGAGATGGAACAAAGCAGCAGCACACAGGAGCTTCAGGTGGGACGCTCATCTAAACCAGTGTTCATCAGGAACAAAGAACAAGTTTCATCCTTACTTTACAGCAAACCAGCAGCCTGTTTACTTTGAAAGTATCCTGCTTTTGCTTCCATTTTGGTGGGCATGTTCATATATTCATACATTCATTGGTGTCTACACATCACTCGTCATTGAAAATTACCTTACAAAGGCACACAGAACTACAATACTAATACCAACACTGCACTAACAGTGTCAGTTGGTGACAAATTAATGCAATGATAGAGGCAACATCATGAAAGATGAAGATGAAGGGGTTACACAAAATAATCCACTGTCAAAAACTGCTAGTTGACAGTTCAATTCAATTCAATTCAA